TAGGAACTGTTGCTGAAGCTGCTGGTCTTGGCGACTCTTTGTGTAGATGATTTTTTTTGCAAGTTCTAAAGCACGAGCAGAAACGTAGAGTCCCTTCAGATGCAAAAATTTGAATCTTAGTGCTGGAAGTAGTCGTTAGTGTTTTATTTTTTAACTTCTGCCAGTCACAAGGCTACACAAGATCAATTTGATCTTAAAAATAAATCCTGCAGCTTTCCGAAGGAGGTAAAAGAAACTGAGTAATATCAAAAATAAATCGAAATTTAAATTTTTAAATTAAGGCTGAAAGAAAAGGACCACAAAACACAGCCCCCTGCTCAGACTGCCGAAGCACGAGTGACATTCCCAGACAGTTAATACGAGCGGAGGAGCTAAAGCAAATCTACTTGTTGTCATCCTGCGATTTTTATGTCCGGATATTTTTGCCCGGAAGGATTGATTACACGTTATATGATGCATTAAAAGATGGCAGCAGTTGTAACCTTTTCAGTTCAGAACTGTGTTGTTATTTCAGGGCAGCAAAAACTCAAAAGCAAATTCCTGCAAAAGGAGGGGTTTAGTGCGGTCAATTATAAGAAATTACAGCTCGCCCGGCAGCGTTTCGGGAGCGGAATGGAATGGAGCGGCGTACTGGGAGGACGTTCTCTACGGCCATAGGTTTTAGGTACAATTAGAGATCAACCAGTTACTAGAGCAGGTCTTCTGGCATAAAGGTTTTGAGTTATATTGATATTTGTCGGTTACTATGACTTCTTTTTTTTTTTTTTTTCCCCCGCCCCCCTTCAATTGCATCATACCCTTAAAAAAATGGTGGTAAGTGAGAGCGCTGCATGCTTTGGAGTTTGTTTAATCTCCGCTTCAGTCTATACAATGCACAAGTCATAACGTTAACACTTTTTTTCTTAAATCTTCTTCATTCACGTTCACAACTAATTTGGATTTCAGTTTGCTGTTTTTAATCTTTATTTAGTCTAATTTTGTACTACTTTTTCTGTTGTTCTGTTGCCCCCTGATTTCGCTAAGGTTTCGGTCTTTGTCTGTACTGTACAGCAGTTAAATGGCTGACCAGGATAGTAACGCACACAGAAATATTCCTCAGTCTTATTTTATCACCGTTTTAGGTTCTAGATGGGAAAGGGGCGAGTGGTGGTGATCCACCAGGTAATGTTAAGTGTTCCAGTGGGTATTTTTGTTGGATCTTTGTTAGGAAAACACCCCACGGCAGCTTTCTAAATGTGAAGCTTTTTTTTTTTTTTTAAACACGCAAAACTACTTACCTGAAACAGGCATCTAAATATTTTAACGGAGAAGGGGAAGATGGTTATTTTATAGCAAGAGAGAGCTTGTATCTTAACGGTGCAGTCTGATATTTCTGAAGTCCGGCCAAACAAACTCTCAGAGATGTCGATGATGCTTGTTAGAAAGCCGAGCTAAGCGAGTCTCAAAGCCGAACGGCATCGGTAGCAGTACTGATCCGGGGCTGGGGGCAACCGAGGGCTTGCTGTCTGTCCCAGGCTCTTCCCACCCAGCGTGCGGAGTACGTAGCGCAGCCTGCTTTAAGATCGTTTGTGAAGCAAAAGATGTTTGCGGAGGGAAGTTCTAGATCTGTGCTTTGTGTTTCAGTACCTGATGTGTCTCTGTATATCTCCACTGTATATACAACAGCACATTGATGTCTGGTTGTCCTTACTAGTCCTAGTTCTCTCTGTATCTTGTCCGATAGTGTACTGTTGCTGGTAATGGACTTCTGTGGACACTGGTGTGTCGCTAGTGTGTTATTTTGGCTGTAAAGCTCTTGGTTTGTGGTTAGTTCTTTATTTTTTTGAAATATTTTTTTTGTTCCGGTCACTGTCTGTGCTAGCGGTGGCTTTGCCTATCCGTTGCCTTGAAGGTACAGGTGGAGTAATGTCCCCTTTGACCGACATTACTCCTCGCGTGTGCTCATGCGGATGCCTACACTGTTAAGACTGTAACTTCCATAACTGCTTCATGTGCACTAAGCACCCTTGTGGAATCCTGCTGAGAGTTTATCTTAAAGACTTCAGTGAAAAAAAAAAAAAAATTAAAAATAAATCCCTCTAGCACGAGGTGGGAACGACAACTGTTGAGTGCCAAAACCGGCAGGTCCTGAATTGGTGTGTGTCCCCCCCCAAAACACTTCAACAGGAGCGTTAACGTTCTGGATCAATTGGGGTTTGTTTTGGTTTTTTGGGTTTGGTTGTTTTTTTTTTTTTTTACTGCTGTTGAAATGCACCTCTGTTTTCTGTACTGCAGCTTGGGGGCGAAACAAGGCGTTTTATAATTCCAAAAATGTTCAATTGGTCATGAAAGAGCTAATGCAAAACATTACTCATTGGCAGATCTTTTTCCAATTCTTCAAAGCGACTATTTTTTGCGAGACACAGGCAGAACAATGCCGTCAGTCTTCTGTAGCTGAAGTCTGTTGTGTCTGGAGGTATTACAGCACCGCGGTGGTGTTTCGAGCCCTGCGCTCCGTCGGACGCACGCGCAACGCCTGCCGCTATCCGAGGACTGCGTTGGGATACTCGAATCGAGTATCGCACCTTCAACCTCCTCCTAACCTGGTCTCTTCTAATTAGGCATTGAGAAAAACGGAATACGTAGGGGCTGTATCGTCCACGGGGGAAGATGAGCGTATGGTGTATATACCCTGTTGTGTATATACCAGCAATTACTCATCAGCGGTTGAAGAATGGCTTTTAAAAAAAAAATTAAAAAAAAATCAAAAAAAAAAAAATCAATGCAAGAAAACAACCAGCAGGATTTTACAACTGAAACGTTGGTTTGTCTTCTCATCTATTTTTTATGAGATTGAACCACTGGAACTTGGGGACAAGATGAGTCTGACCATATTGCAACAATCTGTCCGCTACAGTTGCAGTTCTTCATGACAAGCATTCAAAGTGTTAACCAAAACCATTGAAGCAACATACCTGCCATTAAAACTTGAATCCAGAAAAAAAATAACTCCATGAATCTTGGCACTACCAAGTGGAATGGCCTTTAATGCTGTAGATAGATCAGTTTGCTGTTTGCAGGTCAGGCGGTGTACGGTGCAGAGACTGACTCTCTTTTTTTTTCTCTCCCTTCCTTGTCTTTCCCCGGATTGCATCGGAATTCTTGCTGCAGATGATGAACCAGCTGGGCCAATGTAAGTGTGTTTTAAGAGAAAAATATCGCTTGGCTTAATCTGGGAATGAAATGCTGTTTAACTTATGTGCAAAGACATTTTTTCCCTATGCTTGCGATCGATTTTTGGTGCATTTTTTAATCATTTTTTTCTTTCTCCAGGAAAACCAATTCTACAAACAATCATAAAGATAAAAACTTACGCCAGAGAAACACAAATTAAAAATGCTTATCATGTAAGTATGACTCGCAGTCATCTCGGAAACAGTCAGGCTAAAGTCCTCCTTTTTCTGTAGTGGTTGGGGTGCGTAGCCGTAACTTGTTCCACGAATTAAAGGGTTACCGGAGGACGGCACTAGCTTTCAAAGAGCACCGGGGGCTATCAAAAGATATTTTTTCCCCATAAAATGTACAGGTAGTTTAATGATCCGGTAGCTGTCGAACTCTCTGTAATGGGGATTATTGCTAATTTAAAAAAACCCAACCAACCCACCCTAAAGCCTTCCTCGTTCAATCTTAAAATCTGGAAGCCAACCTCGGTTGGGGAGCCTTTTATCTTCATTTAAGGCGGAAACGGATGTTAAGCGCTTTGATTGCACGCTCTTGTGGCACGCGACGTTGAAAATGCTGCCGGGCATTGACTAGCACCTTTTCTCGTTTCTCTTTTAGAGCTTTAAGTTTCTGAGAGACTGATGGCAATATGACCTGCTAAATTTAAGGGTTGGAACTCTTGGTTCTAGAACTCCAGTTCTGTCTATTATTATTATTATTTTTTTTCTTTCCTTTTCAAGTGAGCAACAATATGACTGTCTAAAGCATGCCTTATTTAGCCTCTCCTTGTAAGGATGACCTAGCCAGATAAATTTTAATAATGCTTCAGTGTAGAAGGTGTAAACTATTTTGGGCTTGATGTGCTGTGAATGTCGTTTTGGTTTTTTTTTTTTTCCTCCTGGTTTTTTTTTTGTCTCCTTAATCTATTTAAAAATTAGGAGTAGTCAGCCGGATCACGCATGCGCCATTTTTTACTTCCTGTAGCTGTTAAAATTGGCAAAGCTCTAAAACGCACCGCTGCCATCTAGTGAGACTTTTTGTAAAGTACAGCAAAACTTAAAAATATATACAGTATATATTTATATTTTGGGGGAGGGGGAAAACCAAAATACAGTAATTGTGTTTCATTTTTAAGCTGCTGATATTCATTCCTTACTGTATGTCTGAAAGATGAGAGAATTATACTGTTCTGGTACTTAGAGAAGTAATATAAATTGAAATTATCTTAAGGGCTTAACCTATAGAGAGAGACTTGGGTGTCCTATAATCAGACTTCAAAAGCTGGAATGGTTCGACGTGGTGGAATGCAGTTGAAAACAAAAACAAAACTTCAGTTTATAAATATATATATATGATTGCTTTTTAAGTGATTTTTTTTTTTGTTAACTCATGTAAATTCTCAAATCCTTTTGCACTGATGTGTTCAACATATTCTTGTACATTCAATTCAGGCAAACTTTTATAATTTTCTTTTTTTTTTTTTGTTTAAATGATGAAATGTTACAGCATGGTGATATTCTATGCAACTAGTTATACTCTTTAGTTTGACACTGTAATTTCTCATGATTTAAAGATTGTAGAAATAGACCTAACAGGGTTCTCACGATGTGCGTAACTGTAGATGCATGAACTTGTGTTCTGTGTATTTGTTGAAGTGCAATGATGTATAAAAAGTGGATTCACCTGTTTTTAAAAATAAAACACTGACCAAAAAAAAAAAAAAAAGACGTGAGGCTTTTTTCAAATATTTAATCACACTTAAAACTCGCGTATCCCGTGTGCTGGGTACCTGGTATTTCTCAACCTTCCGCAAGTTTTTTCAATTCCTTCTCCACATCTTCCACAAAAGCTGGGAAATTCTGATCCATGAGACACAAGCGAATGAAGGGCCCCAGCTCTTGCGCACGCCACGCTGAATGCCGGTACACAAGGGGGAGCTCAGACTTCTTTTTCAGCACAGACTGCGAAAGTAAAAACAAAGGTGTCGCGCTGACCTTGTACATCAAAAGTAACAGCATGCAAAGTTTTCCTTTGGTGTTTGACAAAGATCTATCTGCCTTGTTGTTAACGCTGAGTGAAGGTATTCCACCAGATACGAGCTCTGCAATTCCTTCTGCTACCTAGCTTCAATCCCAATATAGCTTTTATGCAACTTTGAATTCCTTTGCAATTATTTGACTCAGAAGTGCCGGTTTCCTGGGTAACGTGGCTTCCTTGTGAATATCCACTCTGTGGGAGAGACAAGGATAACCAAGCGCACAGTTCTAAGCTCTTAATTTAGCAAGATGTCTTTTAGCAATAAATTATGGGGCTTTTTAAGAGTTAAAACACCCTTTTCATGCCCATTTGAGTTCCCTCCCGTGCGTGCTGAAGTCAATAAAGTTTACAGCATTGTGACGGATGCTTTTCGGGTACTTTGCGTAGGGGAAAAAGAAAAAAATAAATCCCTGAAGTGCTGCTTTCATGATGAGGTAGGTATGATGCGCAGAGGTGATCCAGGTGGATGGTGTTTGACTTGGGGGGGGGACACACCTCAACCGTTAATATTTTTGCTAATCTTATCGTTGGTTCACATTGGAGTATTTTAGAAGGGAAGTTGTTCTTTTATAATGTTGGTGTTAATTCACGTTCCCTCGTGTTGCCTCTTAAAGCAGAGAAGGGTCACGAAAAATACAGTTGCTAAAGGCAACCTGCTTTGTTGGATCACTCTTGTCGATGCTTTGTGCAAGGACAGTAACAGAGGTATTTTAAAGGCTTTTTAGGTTTGAGAGAGGACGGATTTGTAATGGGGAGCACAGGAATTGTCCCTCGTACCACTGATGTAAAGGAACATTGACCTGATCATCCGATCCAAAATGGCAAAAGGGTAAGAAGCAACTGCACAAAACCAGAGGTTGGGGAGAGTTTTCTCCTCAACCATCTGATGCTGTACTGCCCCAAATTCACACAGTAAACGAGGAACGGGTAGCTTCCAGCTATTTTTAGAGATGGCTTTTACTCTGGACGTCTGGGTGAAGCTGTCAATTGAATTATGGGCTCTTTTGCTGTGGGTCAAGGATGATTGATGTTTTCAGACTTAAGCTCTGACCGCAGAGGTTGTTTCTGCGGAGTCAGAGAGTGACAAAACCATTTGATTTGGATGCCACCTTTAGGTATTTGTTCAGCGTGTGGTTTGTTCTCATGCAAACGGGGTAATTACACCATGAAATACCTGGTTTTGCAGTTTACTCCCTAGCTCCAGATCATTACACAAGATCCTTTGGTTCTGTTGGAATAGATGGCAGCATCCTGATGTTGAGCAAAAACATTTACCAGATGTTTACAGCACGCGAGGCAGCTCGCTCACTCCCTGTGCCCGAGAGATTCAGTTACAGGATCTAAATATTAGATTTCTTTTTTTTTTTTTTTTTGTTACCTGCACTAGCTGTGTTACAGATCTTCTTTCCCCAAAGCTTGTGCAGGAATCTGGTAGAGGCTCATCTGGCTAGAAAATATCAAATGCAAATAAGGGCTTGTTACCAAGCAGAGTGTGGGAATGTGCAAGAAGGGAAGCGGTTCCATTTTTAGAGGGAACGGGAAGAGAATGTGCTCAGCTACCTTATGCAGTAAAAAAGCATCTTTTTATGGAACCTGAATGCACATCTGCTCAAGTCTTTAAAAATGGAAGACGTGAAATAATGGGCCTGTAGTTAAACTGTCATGTCTAAACTAAGATAACTTTTAAACTACCTACTGGAAGTAACTTTAAAAAATGCTGTGTAGGAATGCTCACCAGGAGCATGCTTTTTTCCTTCCCGTGAGTCACATCATAGAAGCGATGGTTTAAGTTGTCAGTTCTATTTTCTGAGCAAGGTTTTCAGTCTGAACTTCAATACCACTGGTAGGACTGTTGGTGTTCAACAGCGTTCTGCCACGAAATACTGCCTTTACCTTTCTTTCTGTACTTTAGCCTATCAGGAAATGAGCAAAGCCTGAATTGCAGGTAATCTGCTTAAAGAACAAACAATAAATCTTGAATATCAGCTGTTGAAGGTCTCCCATATGCCTTCCTGGAAATGGTGTGGGTCAAATTAGCAATTTCCGCCCCCCGCATTTTCCCTACCAAATGTAATTCCAGTGTCCAGTAGAGTAGGACATTCCTAGATGACACTGTGCAAATGATGTAGCTGAAAGCTTTGATTATTTTATTTTTCAGGGCTCAGTCTTGGTCCCGATACCTTTATCGTGTACCCAAGAGCTATCCTGGCTAGGTTAGATTTTTATAGAGCTGGTAAATGTGAGCCTCTGGCTACTGAAGAGAGCATATATTGCAGAATTTGTAACTCTCAGAAGCACTATCTGCATTTGTCTTTTCCATTTACCTTAGGTCTTTGTCTTGCAGAGGGAAAACATTCTGTTCCTACCCTGAAATTGCTTTGAAATGTGTCAGGTTAAGCTCAAGTTGATACAATTGCATATTTACCATGTTTAACACTGCAAAACAGGAGTGGATAAACACAAAAAGGAGAACACAATCCATGGCTACTTAAATGGCTCTGATCATTTTTCTTACCCTGTATAATTTATTTGAAGGTCTGCCAGGTGGTTCCCAGCAGGCTCTGCTGAAAGCCACACTGATGAAATTGCAGACATGGGGTTGGGGGTTTTTTTTTTTTTTGGTAACTATTCAGCTCTCATCTTCTGTTCCCTGTTCTTGTTTATTAACCTCAGCAGAAAGCATCTAAGTCTTCCACCAAACCCTACCTGCAGCTGATTGGGAAATAACACTTGGTGTTTGCTGCTGTTTCTTGTACCAGTAACCTCCTATCTTTGCCTGAGCTGCGTATAAATTGTTCTCTTTGTTTCCAGGCTCCATAGCTAAGGAAAAGCTCAAACCCCAGAGCAGAGCCTTTTTCCCCCACCTAGAAATCTCATTCCATACGCTCGCTAATATTCTTCCTATGATCCCGTGAAACACGGAGATTAATTTTATTGGTGACCGCTTCGATGCCAAAACAAGGGCATCTGATTGCTCTGAGATGGTTCTAGCTCCTCAAGCTTATTGTAACTATGTTGAAGTGTGGTTTAACTTCTTTTCAGGCACACTAAGAGGAAGATGATAGCCAGCTTCAGGAGCTGACTCCCTGAATAACTAGCCGTGTTCACTAACTAGGTGTAGTTCCTGCACGTGAACTCAATTTTGGGTTTCCCAAATCGTATTTCATATTGATGGTCTCATAGTTGCAAGGAACTTCCTTCAGAAGTAAAATTTGTCATTTTAAGATCTAACACTTAAAGATTCTTCTAGTTTTCTGTCTACGTGCTCTCGCTTACTTACTGTATGTAGTACCGATGCATTTTGTTCAGTGTCCTTTGCTTGATTTTCCCTGTCAGCCAGCTGACTGAGACTTTGTTCGTCGGTGACTTGAACCGGTACGTACTCTGCGAGCTTCTGAACGCAACTGCTGCAGTGTTCTTGCATCTGTTCTTTTGAATCTCCACCAAACTGCACACGAAACATGCGGCATTCATTCTGCTCAAAGACCAAACAGAAGTTAAATTAACTGTGAATTCCCCTCAAACTATTTTGATTTAATTAAATTCCTATTTGTTAAAGTTACAAAGAAGGCGATTATATTTTTGAATCACTGCACCAACTTAAAGAAACATGTTTTTCCTGCTCTATCTTCATTTTTCCCAGCAGCTAAACCACAAGAGTACACTTCCCAGTTTGAAAATCAGTTTAAAAACCCAAGAAAATGGTTAAGTGAACAGGGCCACTTGTCAACTAATTAATGACACTGAAATAAGCAGAATTCACTAAAATAAAAAATGTGAATTCTGTGTTCTGTTTAGGATTTATGTGACTGTCTGCATCAAACCCAGCCTTCCCTACCCTCCCTGGTGTGCCTGTGCGTAGTGAAACACACATAGTTAGTTTGGCGCTGCAACTGAACGCTGCTGTTCCTCAAATAGATGCTACCACAGTTGAGCAGGAGTGCTAGAAGCTGAAATGCAGTACTTGAAATAGTGAAATAATACTAAAAATAATAATAAAAAAACCCCCTGTATAGGTCTAACCCCCAATAGAGGTTGTCAGGCTGTACCATAATAGATATTTTTTGAAGTACATGAAATCCAGGAAACTGCAGTGAAAATGGAAGACCGAAGAGCCTGGCACATACAACTGCTGTAAGTCTGATACATATCGAATGCTCTTGTTCAGGGAGTGAATTAATGGGACTTTCAGCTCGATCTGGAAATTTAAAACACAGCTAAAGCAGCAAGTTTTCCTCAGACTGACCTAGGTTATTTGAGTCTTTGTCTTTCCAAGATTTCAACATCAAAACCATTTTTTTAATGACTAGACATGCTGCTAGACTGCTGATTACATGAGTATAAGGGCATCTTTCATGTTAAAGATTTTTGTCTCAAAGATGAGCCAGCTCTTCATGACAGCCTGTATGTTTACATGCATGTTATTTTAAGATGCTTGTATTGCATAAAATGATTTCTTTTTTTAGGACACTAAGCATAAAAGCTTGTCTCAGTGTCTTTTAAAGGGAAAAAATGTCAAAATAATTCAAACTGTAGCGCTCATTTTACCAGTGCCCAGTTACATTCCCTCTAATTAACTAAGATGTCAGTTTACCTGGGTCAGCTTCACATAACCAAGAACTGATTTGTGGATATGCCAGACAGGTAAGTTCTCATTACAATGACAGAAAGGTCATCTTAATTGCATCTTAATTTGAATTCCCTTTGGAGACTTTCAAAAACACTTGTTTTAGTTACCCTTACACTCTAAATCAATTTTCACTCTGGGCTGTTTGTATTGCCCTCTGCTTTTTCACAGGGACTGTTGAATACTGAAGATTGTAGATTATAAACAACAACAGGCTTTAAGTTAAACATTTTTCTTTTATGGCAAGAGAGAGAAGGCTCAAATTCAGCTCAGATGATGTCAAGTTTTAGCATAACCTGAGTACTGGGCAGGAACACCTCAACTATTGAAGAGCTGAAGTATTTAAGAACCTTGAGGTCACTTGGACCGTCAGATTTGCACCTCTTCCCACGCTGGGAGGTGAGCTCCGTGAAAACAGCATGAAGGAAAACAATATTAAGAACGTTTTTGTCTTGCTACCGTTTACAGATTGCTTCATATAGAAAAGTTTATAGAGGCACATCAAAAACTAATGTGAGGTAAGTGATTGCAGGAGATGGAGCTGTGTAAAGGGCAGTCGCAGCCACGCGCGTGCATCTGACAGGTACAGCTTCAGAATTAGTCGCTCGTGTGCTTCACTGAATAAAATTTCCACTAGTACAGCTGAGTTTCAGTAGCGATCTGTGACAGGTATATTCTCTATGTGTCTTTTTCCTTTAAGTATATTAACACTAAGCTGCTCAGAATACAGTTTAGAAACTCATTCTGCTAGCTAAGAGGCCACAATGCCCTATTAAAATAATATTCCTTAAGAAATGAGTAAGTGTTGCTATAAATGCAATATTAATGACTTATAAAAAACCGAGGAGTACAAGATAAATCAGAAATGGTAGTGTAATGTTTAGTTGCCCAAGCTCCTTAGTTGCTCTGTGCACTCAGATACAGGAACTGGCTTTTGCAAACCTAGCTTGCTTTCCTCTGCTTAACTTAGCTCTTACTTAGGGTTGAGATGTAACCCCATACACGGTCCTGAATTTTTCTTTTTAATATTTTTGAAGATTAGCACGGAAGTTATATATGCTGACAGCATTTAAGGAATCGCTTCAGCTACGATTTAGGATATAAAGTAGAGAAACTGTATGATAGGACCACTGCAGCACCACTAAATCCAGTTTAAGTCATGTGAATTTACGCTAAATAAACATTTAGATGCACCAAATTCATTTAAGACTATGTTGATATTCCTCTTTTTCTGAACTGTCCCTTAGAGCTTCGTTCCAGCCTCAGAGCCATTGTGATGTTGATTTTGCTTCTTGTCAGATGCAGCAGAATCCCCTAAAATTTTATTAACTGTAAAGGAAACTGATGATCTACTTATTCATCAGAACTAATTACTGCAACAAGTCGATAGTCTTCTTCAGCGATACTCCACGTTTTATAAGAATCTGACAAAAATCAGAGAGCAAAGGTGGTTTGGTTTCAGGCAAGCATAGCCCATGAATTTAAAACAGTTGAAGATATTTATGCAGTTCCTAGTGCCACCATTAGACTGGGCTTATTCTCAAACAAGAGTCCTTATATTTAAACAATGTTTATTATGTCTCACATCTGCTTTTATCTTGCAATTAGCAAGGCATTCTCCCCTCTGCAAATTGTATTGTTTGGTTTGTAACATCTTAGAAAAGAAATGTTTATGCGTCTTTCATAAAAGAAATCAGATAAAAGATGAAAATACAACCAAACAGGAATTTTTCCACTTACTCTGGATATCGCTATTATCTGCAGTTACAATAACCCAGTCTGTACCAGAGTTCCTGTCAGGGGAGAATGCCAGAACATCTCGGGATACCTGAGATGTTTTTACGCCTGAACAGTTCTGTGAACGGGGCAAAGAGTTAAAACTGGTCTCTAGCAGCTACTGAACAAGGGGCTCATCAGGGAATTCTCTTGTCAAGTAGAGATAGTTAAACTAGAGGCAGCTGTTTCTGCTGAAACAACAAAGCCTAGAAACCTTGGGGGGAGAAGGGAGAGCTCTTCTCATTTTGAAACAGGCTTTGTTTCTGAAAAACCTCGTGAGTGCTCAGTGTAGATGAGTAAGAAACTTCTCAGAGTTCATCCAGGAACCAAGAAAACTGAGATTTATACATAAGCTGGTAATGATCAAGTGCTGCTTAATAATTTAAAAGCTAACCAACCACTTTTCATGAGAGCTGAGGGGAAAGCCAGAAACCTAGGTCCCTCTCATTGCCTTGAATACCAAATGCCTGAATCACCAGCCCGCCACTACTGTGCCAGGTGACGGGGGCCACAAAATGGCTAAATAATTGTTCGTGTAGATACTTTGTTTGCCAAAGTGGAGTATGACTCATAGGTAGCCTGCTTCTGTACATCTGAGAGAATCACTTCATCTTTTCAATTGTTAGCCATGGCAGATAGAATCTAAAATAACTATCAGTCTAGCTGTTGTAGAAGCTAACTGTCAGAAAGCAGTCTGAAAGATGTGAATATTAGCAGTCACAAAAGACATTCAGATGATTCATTCCATTCTTGTTTAATATCTAGAGTAAAGAAAAAAATAATAGTCTTTTCATTTATACAATTTACAGAATCTCAGAACTGCTGGTTTAATTTATCCAATATGAAGAAGCCTTATACAGAACTGCGTTAGCTATTGGAAATATTAAAAGCAACTCAACTTACCTTTGCCTGTGCACGAAGCAGCAGGCAGTCTGCTCTTCTTACTATATTTAACCACTTGTGGGAATCAATCAAGGAAAAGCCTTCCTGAAATAAAGCAGAACACAAACTACTTGCACACCAAACATGCAACGCTCAGAAGTACACGTTTATGCGATCTAATTTAATCCCTAATGAAGATTAGTCATCTGCATACGTGCAACTTTTATATCTGTCAAATAATTGCCAATATGCAATTTTTACCACCCTAGGAATTAAATCTGAATCTGTAGCTCCAGCAACAACGCTATGTCCAGGTACGTTCTAATTTCCGTATGTATTTTACATTTATATTTGTGCATGTTAGGGAAGTCTCTGTGAAATGTATAATAAAACAGCTGCAAAGGAGCTTTAAATTCTTCCGCATCCTCTGAACTTGCCCGAGAGGGCAGCAGAGGGCAGGCAAACCTGAAGAATGGGACAGCCGTTGGTTTATCTAAGGCCCAGAGAGGCATTTTCTCCAGATGGAATGCAGGTAAACAAGCAGCAGCTTTGATAACTTGATAAAGATGTTTTTATACTCCAGTTGCATTAACTGTCGGTCTCTTCAAACAAGACGGATTGCTCAGCATTCTGTAAAAATACCCTCAGGAAGCTGAAAACATGATATAAAAATTGCAGGGCAATGGACTGTGGCTCCCAAGGTACTCCACAGGCTGCCACATAGTCATTAGTTAGCAAAGTTCAGGAGAAAAAACAAACAAACAAATACGAGGGCAGGGAGGAAATTACCTACTTGTTTTATCTGAACTCATAATGCTTTCAAAGACCATGAATTTTCACACAGGCTGCTTTTCAGAGGTGTCCTAAGGGTCAAGAACCGCAAGTCGTGTCCATCCTGGACCGCCAGCAGTGTATTTTTGCCAGAGTTACTATCCATCTTACGCAGATCCAGGCTGGGAAACCATCTGCTGTTCTATTTTGGTACAAGAAATCACCTCAGTAAGACACTGCTCTGTTCAACGTGCTGGCACTGGCTTTATAGTCTCATGCAGCAATTGCGTGTAGATTTTTAAACTGAACTTTTATGAGAAGACTGTCTAGAAAGCATTGAAGAGTTGAACCAAAGGCAAGCCGGATCACAGACCTGCAGCTGATAGGATAGACTCTGGAATGGTAAGACAACATGCAAGTATCATTCCCAAAAGATTTGGGGTCAGAGGGAAAAAAGAGTTTCCCTCTGCACTGTAAAAATGGGTGCTGACAGCAGATAAGACGGGCCAGTCATTTGCAGCATGTTTCTTTGCACTGAGCGCTCTCAAAATGTCTCAAGGTAGGACTTGCTAAGGTGTGAAATGCTTCAAGGTCAAAAGAAGAGGAAGACCTCATGTTGTGACTGATGGGAAGTAGCAAGCTCTCCTCTACTCTTACAGGAATTAGTAATCTGGAATCTAAGAGGGACAAACTGCAAATGATAGACCTCCCAACGGAAAAGAGCATCGGGGTTCTCCAGCCATGATGCAATTAGGCTGGTGGAGCAGGAGGTTGTGTCCAGCATGCTGAGGGCACCCTCCTCCCACATACAGCCAGAATCCTCTCTGAGGTCCAACAGTAGGAAGCGTCTGAAGGTCAGTTTGTCATGTAGTCTGAATTTATGCCTGACACAGAAAAGGAAGCCCGTGAAATACCCTTACTCCTCTGCACACGTGGCATTTTATCGTGCCTGCCTTTGGGGCGTGCAGTTTTAGCCTCTCTTGGTAGACCTGCACAACAAGAGCTTGGTATATGGACGTTAAAGGTGAAGGGCAGAAGATACTAAGCAGAAAGCCTGAGGAATGAGATAAGTAGGCTGAGAAAAGAGTACGGCACTAGTAGAACACTTCTAGAATAATCGGTAGCACTTCACATGTCATATTTTCAATTGCACCGTAGAATACATTACTTTGAAATTTGGCTAAAGATGTTCATGGCTGGGCAGAGTTTAACCCCAAAATATTGTATAATGCTGCAAATGGAAAAGCATCAGCAAGTTAAGCTAGTGACTGCACACAGCAGAGACTTACGTCAAAAGTCAAGAATTTCAGTCATGCCAACATCATGGAAATAGAGCACAGCATCTGCGACGGCAAAAAAACCCCATACGTAGTGCAGAAGAGTTTGAGTGGGGCAGGGGCTAGGCTTTCAAGTCAGAACAGAGATATGTAGAACTGGAATATATAAAGCAGAAAAAATTATTTTGAACTGTCCCTTCCAGAAAGGGTATATTCTTGATGTTTATACAAATAATCTGAAAGTAAATGTCCTCACTGGTTGGAATGCAGTATATTTTTGTGAAATAAACACAAACTAACATAAGGTGAATTTCATCTCAGCACAAGGACTGACTTCTCTCGTTTAAAGCTGTAAATGTTGAACATCTTCTTTCGGCTAACTTGTATTGAGGGGAATTATCCACACCTTCTCAAAATGCACGGGCCAGGTCAGAACAGCTCACTCTGGATAAGCAGCCAGGCTCAGACCTGGACAACCAGCCAGCCTAGGAAATGGGAAATGATTTTGTGTTGGAGTATGATGGCTGCTCGTGCTTACACGCTTAGTGCTTCCTAGGGAATTCCATAGGGAATTTCTCCACTGCCACTTGGTCTTCCTGCGATTCCACTACCAAGCCCCAAACTGCTGTTAGTGAAGTAATTCTAATATCCCACTCTAGGCGACTTTAACTTGTGGCCGCTTGTGCTTACCCTGTTCATTTCAAATGGTTCCTGGGTTTGATCCACACCAACTGTGTTTATTTAAATATAGCTGTTCCCCTATTAAGTCTATTTATTTTAATAGTGTTTTTCCTTTCACTGTAAGATGTAGGTAAAACAAATGTTGTCTCCTTAAAATAATAACTGTTTTCAAAGAAATCATAAATGGCAGCCAATGTTTAACTTCCCCACCGTTTTATTGGTATTTCCCAGGTTGTCATCCTTTTATATGTTCTGTTTCTGAGGTAGAGAATGCTGGAAAACCCCAGCATTTGGAATTTTTATTTATGTACTCCTAATTATTCCACTCCAAGCCCAAAATTTAATTAACTGAAACTTACATTACTTCAACTTTAAGTGGAGAACAAAGCAGAAAGTCTTTCCTTTCCTCTTGCACCTTCGGTTGTATATTGTATATTGCCAAGCAAAAACAAATAACTAAGAATAGCGAAAGCAAATAGAAAAACTCAAGGCAGTACCTGAGCAATACAACAGACCTGATTTGGCACAAGCAAGCTACCTGAAAAAAGGAGAAGGGAATGTTTTAGACAAACTCAGGTCTGCAGAACTACCCAGACTTAACTCCATCGTTAATTTTTTACATCAGTAATTGTCATTACAGTCAGGATCCTCTAGATTTTCCTCAGTTCCAAGCAGCAAATAAGCCTGATTTTGCACCACGTCAAGAAAGTCTATTTTGTTCCTCAGGGCTTTTCCACGTTACCTCAGTCAGCACAGACTGTATTTGAGGCTGCCTGAATGAAGACAAAAAAAGATTCTTCTTAATGATAATTCTCTCTTTTTGCCAACAATGAACTAGTTATGAATCTGCATACAAAGTTAGGTAAATTAATTCAGAGCAACAAGAAGGAAGACCACAATAAATCTGTCCCTTGGTTCCACCGCTCGAAGTCGAGAGGATCTCTGCCAACATCCAGGCACTTGGCATAGGGGAGATCCGGGAAACTGCACGGCAATGTGTTGAGGTTATAGTCCATTTGTGCCTCTTGAGAGATAATGAATTGACTCTAAATTTGCTCTGGATATATATGCACTGTCAAAGAAAAAAGTAGGAGTCTCTCCAGACTGCCACCACGCTGACAGAAATACAGAGAACTAAGCAGCTGTGGTCACTGTTCTCCTTGAGCAGGCAGCATCTGTAGCTGCTTTACAGTCAGAGTTGGGCAGCGCTGAGCAGTATTGGGTGTGAGCAGAGACAGATGGCAGTATAAGATTAATCGGGAATATAGACAAAAAGGCAACCTAGAACTGGGCAGGAACATAAGACCTCAAATGTTTACAATTTGAAGAGATAAACAGCAGTGCTTTTCTAAGTTTGATCATTAATATTCAATCATGCACATACTGTGTCATTCACCAGGATCAGACTTGTAAGAACACTGCATTAAAGCAAAACAGTTTCATATATCTCTGACAAAAATCTAAGTCTCTCAGAGGGAGGACCCTGAGAGGAATTAAGCTGAAAGAGAAAACAAAGCAAGACATGTCCCAAGTATTTTGGAAGCAGGCAAGATGTGACCACACCTTACACGAGGCAGAGAAGCCAATAACGCTGGTTTAGCCTTACACCCATCTAGTCTGTCATTAATTGGGAAATACTTTTGTTCTGATTTTACATTTCGGCATTCAAAAAGCTGCTGGATAACAAGGCCTGTGATCTATGTTGGGAGGTATTGCATGTTATTTATGAATACTTTTATTATTGTATCATCTAGAAACCCTAGGGAGCTAAGCAACTTATGAACACAGGAACAGATTGTCCATTTTACGTTAGATTGCAAGGCCTTTAGGCAACCCCATCTTAACTAAAAATTAATATATATTTAAGAAATGTTATGTGTGTAACAGTTCAGCTATGCTGGCATACATCATTTAGCTTGTATTTACTCATTCATGAGACAGATGTTTTCAAATGAAACTGAACTACGTGTGTAAACAATAGCTTAGGAAGAAAAACATTCTTTTTGCTACAAACATTATATAATCTGTCTTTAAATTACAACCAATGTTTAAAAAGACCAACAAACCCCCAGAATACCACACACAAAGACACACATTCTCCAGTTTTGGCTGCCACTGATAGTAGGTTCCTGAAATGCAAATAAAACAGTTTGTTCTCAGAGTTCACAGTTCAGAATGAATGTATGCATTGTATAATGTAATGGATTAAGGAGTCAGCTGGGTATCTCAGACTGGGAATGTGCATTTGCAAGAAATGATGAGTTCAGCATGAGATCAAAGGAATTTTATTGCATTAATTAATATCCCAGTGCATAGCTGCCTGAGTGGTCCTGTCTGATAACCGAAGCAAGATGGCAGAAGAGTAAAGCTAAAGGC